CCTACTAGCGATGGCCTCCAACCTACGCGATGCCTCCAACCTACTAGAGATGGGCTCCAACCTACCAGCGATGGCCTCCAACCTACTCGAGATGGCCATCAACCTACTAGAGATGGCCTCCAACCTAATAGCGATGGGCATCAACCTACTAGAGATGGCCTCCAACGCACTATGGAAGTTTGGACGCCTAAGTTTACGGAAGCCAAATATCGAAGGGTTCTTCAGAGAAGACGAAAACTCCCCTCTGCGAAGGACGCTAATCTGTGTCCCCCTCGTCCCTGTCATTCACCTAGTAGCTAACCTAGTAGCTAGATCGCCAAAGCTAGCAATTTACTGTTCTAAGCTATGCTTGATTTCGAAGCGACCACTGTAGGTATTTACAAAGGAAATTTTCGAAGCGACTAGGTATTGCCAAAGGAAAACGCCTTTCTTCATTTCGCTGCTACGAATTCCTACCTTAGCCGGCTATAGCCTCCTTCTCTCGGCCGGCCTTCGCCTACCAACCTTCCTGACCGAAAAAGAACCCGAATTTGCAGGCAGAATGCATCAGACGCATCAGACCGTTTGGGAATTCCAAAGTTTCTGATGGATTTTTCAAAAGGACCTATTAAAAGACCGCTCTGCCCTCCAACCTACTAGCGAGTGCCGCCAACCTAATAGCGATGGCCTCCAAAAGGAGACAAAAATAGTTTTGCAAATAGTTTTAAACACAATATGTTCAACATATGTTTCGATCAAACTCATACTATATGGCACAGCCCATAGCCTGCCCCAGCCTTTGTTTTGTCGACAGAACGCCTTGGATTTGGCGACACGTCTGGCAGTGGCACCCCCCCCATGGGTTTCCTGCCGGTGACATGCCCAAAGCCATGCTCGAAGAGAAGTCTTTTCGGAACTTTTCTCGGTCTGCTTCAGCTCTTTCGGGCTAAAGCGGGTGCCTTAAAGCGGCTGCTAAGCCTTAAGTGGCTAAGCCTGGCAACAGCCCGCCTCTATTCTGCTTAACTCTTGTGATTATAACTTAATTCTAATTGCAATGGTTTCCATCCTACTACCGATGGCCTCCAACCTAGTAGCTCTAGTGTTTGTTGGGTGGGGTGGGTCGGTCGAATGACCGACATCGTGGGTTCGGTTTCTCGCCAGGTGGCGCATCAATGTCACATTCGCGAAGACCCTAGTAGCAAGGACGCTTCTAGGGGCTCCTGGCCTTACTACTAGGAGCAAGGACGCTACTAGGAACAAGTGCATCGCTTCTAGTAACAAGTGCCTTACTAGTAGTAACAAGAAGCTTCTAGGGGCTCCTGGCCTTACTACTAGGAGCAAGGACGTTACTAGGAACTTTTTCTCACAAGTGAACTTGGCTTCCTAGGCACAGCATTCCATGGAATACGAGTTTCCAATCCGTGTGACTGTCGCGGTCGGTGTAAATAGGCATTTTTTATGTGGAGCTTCTGGGTTCGAGTGGAAAGCATATTTTTTCAAGACACTTCACAAAGCTCTTAGGTTGGAGGCCATCACTAGTAGGTTGGAACAGAGACTGCTCCTGCTCATTGAAGCTTCTTTAGTTTCAGCTGGAAATTTGGACTTTCAGCCCGCAAGTTTCCTTGCCATGAAAACAGTGGCTTTCGATTTGGCTGCTTCAGTTCTGTGAATTGAGCCGAAGGATAATGACATGCACCAGCGTGACCACGCTCCCAAAACGCAGGGGCCGGTCAGCTTGTGGCCAGCAAGTCATCGAAAATGGAAGCGATGCACTTGTTCCTAATAGCTTCTTGTTAATACTAGTAAGGCACCTGTTACTACTAGTAAGGCACTTGTTCCTAATAGCTTCTTGTTAATACTAGTAAGGCACCTGTTACTACTAGTAAGGCACTTGTTCCGAATAGCTTTTGTTAATACTAGTAAGGCACCTGTTACTACTAGTAAGGCACTTGTTCCTAATAGCTTCTTGTTAATACTAGTCAGGCACCTCTTACTACTAGTAAGGCACTTGTTCCTAATAGCTTCTTGTTAATACTAGTAAGGCACCTGTTACTACTAGTAAGGCACTTGTTCCTAATAGCTTCTTGTTAATACTAGTAACGCACCTGTTACTACTAGTAAGGCACTTGTTCCGAATAGCTTTTGTTAATACTAGTAAGGCACCTGTTACTACTAGTAAGGCACTTGTTCCTAGTAGAAGCAAGTCATCGTTGAAAATGGTTGCAGACCGTTTTTCTTGCAGAAACAATCGCAAAGCAGATCTTTGACCACAGCGGAACACACCTTTTCTCGAACGCAGCTCTGGCATGCACGACACACTTTCATTGGGTGCACCGATGAGCCCATCTTGGTCAGAAGATGGCCCCTCACATGTCCAATTCCTGACTTCCTTTCTTGTTACTGGTAGCGTTCTTGCTCCTATTAGTGATGCCAGGAGCCCCGAACGTAGCTTCTTGTTCCTAGTTGCATGGAAGTTCCACCTAAGGGTTGGACTGTGCCATGGACTGTTGGGGCGATGATCCCCGCCTTGAACGAGGGGGACAAGATCACTGAGATTCCTAAGCACAAGGTGGACCTATATATACCTGTTTAGCCCAAGGCCTTTGATTGGCCGTTCGAGGGGAAGAACAAAACGCTGAGACAGGGCAAGCCACACAAGCTGCTACCCATATGGTGGATAGTCACTGCAAGAACAAGGCCTGCTGGTGCGCTGCGCAGCTTCCAGTACTTTCAGCAATCGCACGATCACTGCGAGTGGAAGTGAGGGAAAGACTTGCACTTCGACTTCTCTAGCTCGGACATGCTTCTCTAGCTCTAGACTTCTCGCCCTCATGTTTTGATTCCTCACACGGTGCTACATTCCCGTCTCATCCAAGTGTGTTTTCGGGGTTCTGCCCCAGATCAGCAAGACGACTCATTGTGCGAATTTAACGTAGGTCAATGTCAATACCTCTTTGGTGGCAATGCCTTTTCCAGCGTTCATTTTTTTTGCGGCAGCGTGCTGGTGACGATCCAACCGACCAACAAGCACAACAGTTGCAACAATGACATGCCATGCAACCTGCCTATGCACCATTGCCATCGCTCTTGGGTTGGACGCTGCTAGGTTGGAGGCCATCGCTCATAGGTTGGAGGCCATGAGGTTCCTTATGCGAACGTAGGTTGGTGGCTTGAAGTGACAAATTGCCGGCCGAGAGTTGCATTTTGTGTCCTCGCCGTTTTCAGCAGGGAAGCTGTGCATATTAAAATGGAGTTTACGGTTTCCAGGGTACATTGGACCCATGCCACTCTTGATACAAACATGTTGGAGTTTTCTCACAGGTCGTTTTAGTCGAATTACTTGAACAAATGAACACATGAAGCTAGTAGAAACAAGTGCATCGCTTCTAGTAACAAGTGCATCGCTAGTAGTAACAAGAAGCTATTAGTAACAAGTGCCACGCTAGTAGTAACAGAAGATCCACTCAAACTATTTGCATCTTTTGTCCTTTCGCCGCTGCGGGTCGCGAGCTGCCAGTGAAGGTGCAACCGTTGCAGTTTCTGGGTGCGACACTTCGACGTGCGGTTTGCAAGGTGAACGGCCAATGTGGCCACAAACCACCAGTGGCGGTGAGGCCTTTTTCCAGTCAATCGATGTTCGCTGCACATTGTGATTTACATAATGCAAGTAAAGAAAACACAGATCCAGTAGGAGTTGAAGCAAACTACCGGTAGTCGTTTTTATGGACAGGATGCATTGAGACTTAAAGATGCGCTGAAGGAGGCCAAGTTGCATTGTCGATGTCAAGTTGATTGCCATGAAAGCTATCGCTAGAAGGTTGCAGGCCATTTCTATCAGGTTGGAGCGATGCTTCGTTGCTTCTTGGACGATCGGCTCTCGTGGCTCTGAGGCTCTCTTGCCGATCATTGAAGATGTCAAGGTGGTCCTGTCAGAGGCGTCGGACAGATGTCTCTCTAGCCTCTCCTTCCAGCTAACTTAGCCTAGTAGCTTAGATCCTTACTTAACTCGGAGGGTAGGGCCTTGGGCTAAAAATCAAAAAGACAGCTTATCCTTCTGGCTTTGAAGTCGAAAGAGGCCCTCAGAACCACTCTCCAAGAAGAAATGGGGCAGCAGGCTGGGGCTGCTGGGGCGTCTGCTTCCCGCTGCGTCTCACGCCACTGAGGAATTGCTTTTTGCTAAGAAGCTGCCACTAGAACGCTACGAACGGGGCTCCTGGCATCGCTACTAGGAGCGATCGGACGCTACGAACGGGGCTCCTGGCCGTACTACTAGGAGCAAGTAGCTACCAGGAGCTTTTTCGCGACCAGGAGCCGCTGCTCTTTAGCTGCTTCAGTTGAACGCTTTCTGGCACTCGTGAAACAAGTCACTGTACCGGAGCGATTTTTCCAGCCAGGTCCATACCTAGTGCCCAAAATTTTGAGTAGAAAGGCTGTGCCGGAGCCATGGTCCAGATGTGGGAGATTGTGGGAGGAGCAGACAAAGGTGGCATCATTGTGAGGCCGTTGGAGCGAGCAAATTGAAAAGAATTACATCTTGTTACATGTCAAAAAGAATCCTTCTGGTTTTGTCCAAGTTTCTTCAGCTTTGACAACGCCGGACACTGGTCAAGTGACCTTGTTTTTCAACTTCACAGTTCCGACTCGGGATACCATGTGAGCGGAAATGTGCTACTTCTTGTGCCGGAACAAAGACAATTCCGAAGAAAAGACACATCAAGAACAATCATTTCTATTTGGTTGGAGGCCAACTTTAGTAGGTTGCAAACTCGTCTTTTCTGCATTTTTTGTTTCTCTCTGATTTGGCTTTTTGCCGAAGGGATGGAGAGAATACCAAGTCCAATCAGCTGGACGATCGACTCTCGACGGGGGCATTGGTGGAAGAGGTTGAATTGAAGGGCGACCGCTTGAACTATAAACTTGTCACCGGCACTGGGCCACAAACCGGCTGGGTCCATGCCTCAGGCGCAACAAGTCTTACGAGTCTTGCTTTCATACAAAACCAATTGAAAGTTGGGGGTAGGTAGGTAGGTCGGTAGGTAGGAAGTGAGCAAGTAAGCAAGCAAAAAGGCACGCTACTTCATCCAACCTAGTAGCTTCTTGTTCCTAGTTAGTAGTAATGCCAGGAGCTACTAATCAATAGCGTCCTTGCTCCCAGTAGCGATGCCCTTTGTTACTAGTAAACAAGTAAGGTAAGCTTATCAGTAAGAAGGGAGCTACTTCATCCGATGTTGGGTTCTCCCGGGAGAAGTTTCCTGAAACAGCGGGATCATGCGTGACTGTGGAGCATTGTGCTATGACAAGATGTGACGTGTAGGACATGCTGCAGAGTTCTTCACTTTGAGTCACTTTAGGTCAGCATCAAGCTTTCACCAAGTGTGCTCTGCGGCCTCCAACCTAATAGCGATGGCCTCCAACCTGATGGAAATGGTCTCCAACCTACTAGCAATGGCCTCCAACCTAAGAGCGATGGCCTCCAACGGTCCGGAGTCGCTTCAGGTCAGCATTTCAATTAATTTTAAATTAATAGCTTCTTGTTACTTGTTCCTAGTAGCTTCTTGTTACTACTAGTAAGGCACTTGTTCCTACTCGCTTCAGGTCAGCATCAAGCTCAAGGACAAGGACTTGGCTGTGAAGACAGACAAAGGTCCGAGCCCGCCACCCACGGCTGTGGGTCCCAAGAACGAGGAGCGAAGAATTGTTCTTTTGTAAAGAAAACCAAGGCAACGGCCGTTGTAGTAAGGCATATCAAACAGGCTTTTGCCTGATTCCTTTTGCATGTGTTTCAATGTGTTCCCATGAGAACGTTCATTTGATCTTTTATTGAACGTTTGACGTATTTCATTTGCCTTTTCCTATCAGTTTGAACAGTTCCTTTTGCTCTGTTTAACACGTCATTGTCAGGCTCCCCTCCCGATTGCACTGTTCTTCCCCGGTCAGGGGTCACAGTATGTGGCCTGAACTTTTTGAGCACGTCTTTTTTTTAGCGATGCACGTGTTCCTAGTAGCTTATTGTTTCTAATAGCTTCTTGTTACTACTAGTAAGGCACCTGTTACTACTAGCGATGCACCTGTTACTAGAAGCTTATTGTTTCTTTGATGTTTGTTTTTTCTGTTGGTGCTGAACTCAATTTTTTGCTTTATTCGTTTTGTTCCCAGAATCCGAAGGTGAAGATGCTTGAAAAGGCAAAGGATCTTCCGGCTGTCAAAGACATGCTGGAGAAGTCCAAGACAGTGTTGGGCTACGACATCCTGGATATTTGCCTGAATGGACCGGAAGACAAGCTTGAGGAGACGCGATATTGTCAGCCTGCATTGTTTATTGGTGGTTTGGCGGGCTTGGAAAAGCTTCGAGAAGAACGAGCAGAAGCCGTCGACAGGGCATCTGTTATGGCCGGCTTGTCATTAGGCAGATCACTTTTTGGCCCACACAAGCAAGCAAACAAGAAAGCAAGCAAGCAAGCATTTGTTGTCGGACAGAAAAGAAAGCAAACCAAAGGAAGTTTGTTCATAGTAGTAATAGTAATAAGTAACAAGAAACTGCTAGTAGCTCGTGGCACTACTACTAGCAGCAAGAAGCTACTAGTAACAAGGCACCTTACTACTAGTAACAAGAAGCTACAGGAAACACAACTATTTCGCGTAACCTTTTTGAGATCTTTTTTCCCACCAGGCGAATATACCGCGCTTTGTGCGGCCGGGGTAATGAGCTTCGAGGATGGGCTCAAGTTGGTGAAGCTTCGAGGTGAAGCGATGCAGGAAGCAGCCACGCCCCTCGACCTCCAACTTGAGCTATTAGTAACAAGAAGCTACTACTAGCTCCTGGCCTTACTACTAGGAGCGAGGACGCTACTAGGGGCTCCTGGCATCGCTACTAGTAGCAAGAAGGCTAGTAGGTTCTAGTAGGTTCTAGTAGGTTCTAGTAGGTTGGAGGGCATCGCTCTTAGGTTTGAGGCCAACCTACTAGGAAGGTCATGAAGGTCATTCTCAAAATGTAACTACTCTTTCAATCGGTAAACCTCACCAACCGACCCTCCCCCATTGACACCTTTGGTGGCCTCAGCTTTGCAACAACCGTGATACTGTAAGAGCTGTTTGTTTGGCCGTCCTCCACCCTGTGTCATTTGTTTGCCCACGTTGTTTTTCTTTGACAATATGATGAAGACTATTTGCTGACGGACTGATGAGGATGTTATAACATGTTATATGGCGACGGCGGTGATAGCAGGGCTACAGAAAGCATGCAAAGCCAATGCAAAGCATGCCAGACCTGTACACCAAATGCAGCTGTTTCCAGGTCTGGGAGCAAGAAACAACTCATGCTCTCTGTCGCGGGGCTGGAACGAGCAAAACTGGAACCTCTTTGCAAAGAAGCCGCAGCCAAGGAGGCACGGTGAACCGAAGATAAAACTGAAGGGAACCGAAGGGATGCAGAAACAGGCATAGAAATGAGTAAGCAAGCTACTAGTAACGTCCTTGTTCCTAGTAGCGATGCCCTTTGCTCCTAGTATCTTCTTGTTACTAGTAGGAAGGCCAGGAGCTACTCGTAACGTCCTGGTTCCATCTTGTTCCTAGTAGAGTCATCTAGAGAGGACTTATGAAGCTACGATTTCGTCCGCTTCGTGGCTTAGCACTCTTTTGAAGGCCGGAGGTGTTTGCTCCGTTGCAAACTGCCTATTTCCCTCTGGCTTCTCAGTTGGAGGGACAGAGCAGGCTTGGATTGGTTCTTCTGAATGCCTTGAAAACACACTGTGAAATCACACTGTGAAATCTCTGTGAATTATATAAATTGAAACCGATTTTTAGAACATCGCTATTAGGTTGGAGGCCATCGCCAGTAGGTTGGAGGCCATCGCTAGTGACTAGTAGGGTGGAGGCCATTGCTAGTAGGTTTCTTAAAGTTGTTTTTCTATAGGGTTGGACTGTTGAGGCGATCAACACACTGAAAGATTTGGCGGAGAAGAATGGAGCTCTTCAGGAGAAGATCGGAACAATTGGAGTTCGCAAGAGTTGATTTACACGAAACGCGCAGAAGCGTGAGCTATCCTGCGTCCACACTAGTACCTTACTTAACCTACTAGTATGGACGCAGGAGGGAGGGGGGGAGCCAATTGAGAAACCTGTCAGGCCAAGATCCTGAAGACAGCTGGTGCCTTTCACACATCTTTGATGCAACCGGCACAGGAGAGAGAGAGAGAGAGAGAGACGGAGAGGGGGAGAGGGGGAGGGAGAGAGAAAGTCAGAAAAAAGAGTGCCTGTTTTCAAGCGGATGATGCAGGAAGGGGCTAGAGGTTGGCAAGGGGAAGGAAGAAAGGAAGGAACAAGGGAGCAAAGGATGCAAGTTCATCTACCAAAACATGTAAAAGAACAGAAAAATGCACAATAGAAGGACAGGAAAGGAAGCAGTCTCCCTCGACTCAAATTCATTCTTCCTTCTCTCTATAGACTCTATGTTTTCTTTATTAATGTTCTTCTTTTCAATTCCTTTTTACGAACTTCTTTTTCAATGACTTTCATTCCTTTCGTTTCAATTCTTTCTTTTCTTCTTTTCATTCCTTTTCAATTCCTTTCACAATGCCTTTCTTTCTCTAAGACTGGAAGGAATTCTTTGTGCCAAGAGCCTCGGGCCGCACTCGGTGGCACTCGGTGGCACTCGGCACAAAGCCGGCAGGACCGGCTCTCAGCGGCCTTGGAAGAAACCTTGCCCAACATGAAGCCGCCACTGCACACGGCGACCTGGCTTAAACGCTTGGCCGCTTCAGCTCGCTTCATCGAATTGGGTAACATACATTCTAATTCAATTCTAATTGTAATTCTTGTTTCTAATAGCTTCTTGCTCCTAGTAGCGACGCCAGGAGCAACTAGTAGCGTTCTTGCTCCTAGTAGCGATGCCAGGAGCCCCTAGTAGCGTCCTTGTAGGTTCTGGCATGAAATTCTAGGGGCCAGAACCTGAACTTGTACCTGTTGAACCACGAAATCAGTGACGAAGGCCTCCAACCTACTTTTCTACAGAATAGCGACACCACGTGCCCTTGGCTTTGCCGACTTCGAAGCGCTAAGCCCAAAGCCTTGCGAAGCCTTGCTTGGGGACCGCGCTACAAATAGTGTCGCAGACCCCAACTCAGAATACATCAGCGGTTTCAGACCCTTGTTGGTCCCTTTAAACCTAATAGCGATGGCGTTCCTTTTTGAGATTCTCCTTTTCTCTCTTGTTCCTTTTGGTTGCGAGTCGTGACTCATGTCAAGCTTGCTGCGCAAACAGAATGTTTAAAGAAGCTACACTTGTGCAGTTGCGAGTGCCGCAGTGTTGCGGCAGCCAAAGAGGAAGAAATGCCCTCGTGAGAAAACCATTTGATTTGTGGTTCTTCAATGTTTTTCAGTTTCGTCCTCAGAAAGGATGGAAGGAATCAACAAAAAATACAATCAAACAAACCATATAATATAGAGCATCATCAAAGGAAGTTCGGGATCGAAACGTTTGCGTGACGGAGACAATGCAATAGCTAGAGTCGTTTGTGTGCATGATAGCAAGAAGGATTCAGAAGTAAGAGGACGCTCAAAACATAGTGTGGGTATGCCTAAAACGGGGCGGGATGGTCTCGGGATGGGCTCGGAACTTGTTAGGTTTGGATGAATGCCTCGGCACAACCCATTCGACCTGGCAGCGACCCGGCCGAGATCGTTGCACTCTTGAAAAGGCAGGGCACAACTCGAGCAGCTGCTGTACTGAAGCCAAGGGGGCCATCGCTAGTAGGTTGGAGGCCATCGCTTATAGGGTTGAGGCCATCTCTACTTGGTTGGAGGCCATCTCTACTTGGTTGGAGGCCATCTCTACTTGGTTGGAGGCCATCGCTAGTAGGTTGGAGGCCATCGCTAGTAGGTTGGAGGCCATGCCATCGCTAGTAGGTTGGAGGCCATCTCTACTTGGTTGGAGGCCATCGCTACTTGGTTGGAGGCCATCGCTTATAGGGTTGGAGGCCATCGCTGCTAGGTTGGAGGCCATCAGTACTAGGTTGGAGGCCATCGCTATTAGGTTTGAGGCCATCAGTATTAGGTTGGAGGCCAACGCTACTAGGTTGGAGGCCAACGCTACTAGGTTGGAGGCCAACGCTACTAGGTTGGAGGCCGTCGCTACTAGGTTGGAGGCCAACGCTACTAGGTTGGAGGCCATCGCTACTAGGTTGGAGGCCGTCGCTACTAGGTTGGAGGCCATCGCTACTAGGTTGGAGGCCATCGCTACTAGGTTTGAGGCCATCGCTACCAGGTTGGAGTCCACTTCTGTACTGAAGCCAGCTGTGCGCAGCGCACATGGTCTCATCTCGTTTCCACAATTTCCGCTTGAATGTCCGAAACGGCTGAACGCAGAGTTGCTGCCGGTTGCTACGTGTTCCAGGCAGTTGACTAACCCGGTCCTTTGGGAAGATTCTATGAAGGCAATTATCAGGGAAGGTGTCAAAGAGCCACTTGGAAACCTTCGAATCCCATCAATGAAATTGCATTTTTTCTGCGTGAGAACCGACACGTTTCAGGCAACGTGAACAGCGTTTCTTTGGAAAATGGTTGCGTGAATTCAAATACCAGTGACAATCTTAGGTTCTATGAATGTGGGCCCATGAAGCAGATCAAGGCAATGATGAAACGTATTGATGCAGCCGTTCCTTTGCTCATTGTGAGACACCCCCAGTTGTTTTTTTTGACAAATCGGAGTCAACTGATCCAAATTGGAGATACACTTGCGGCTGTTTTGATTTGTGGCAGTTTGACAGGGAACGCCTGTCATATCTAAGGCATGGAAGACAACCACAAACATTGAGGTGTAGATGTGGATGTCACGGGTCTGCGGTTTGCGATGTGAAGATGCTTTAGACCAATTCGGTAGATAAGAGCTCTTGAAAAGCAGCTTGGGAGAATGGACCAAGTCTTTCCTTTTGGAAGCATCAGATTCCGAAGCTGAGTCTGACCGCAGTTGCCACGGCATGGCCTTGCGCACTGATAGCGCAATTTGTGTGCCATTACGGCAGTCAAATCCATTTTTTTGCCATAAGTGAGTCATGTCAGAGACGCGTGATGCTGTACAAGTAGCGCGCAGACGTTGTAGAGAAGAAACCACTGCTGCGAAACGTTTTGTGTGTTTCAATGAGATTTCTGAATGTCCACTGAGAGGTCACTATCCCCTAAAGATCGGATTACAATGTTCAAAATTCTTTGTGACACTTTTCTTTGAGTCAAAGACAAAAAGCAGACAAAGAATGTAGCTGGGTTCTTTTCGATTTTTTTCACAGGTTCTGCCTCGACTCAAAGTGCGAAGTCTCAGAGGAAGACGAGTCCCTTACGTCGCAAATCACTCTTTGACGCACTGACGAGTACTTCAAGTGCGCCTACGTCTCTGTTCCTAAACATTCCTACTAGGGGCAAGGCTCGCTACGAACGGGGCTCCTGGCCTTCCTACTAGGAGCAAGAAGCTACTAGGAACCAAATGAATAGTGCGAGCACTTCTTCAAGGAAGCTGCCCCCGCCGCTTTTAGGGTGGCCCGGGGAGCTTCCTAGAAGAAGCAAGAGCTATCCTGTGTCCAGTAGCTATGGTAGCTTAGGCTTAGGAACCTATTACCTACTTAACTAAGCAAGGGCGGGCAAGAGTACTCAAGTCTCTTGCCTTTTAAAGTCTCTTCAAGCTTGTCTCTTTGAGGGACTCTCTCAAGTTGCCAGAACCAACCGCTTCGCTTCACTGCTTCGCTTTTGCTTTGCTTTGCGGAACCGCATAAGGCATGTCTTGAGGCGCGCCGGATGAGGCCTGGAAATTGAGCTTTTTCTTTAGCTGTGCATCGAGAAACCATTGTTGTTTCTTCTAGGGATGACCTCCAACCAAATAGCGAAGGCCTCCAACCTAAGAGCAATGGCCTCCAACCTAATGTTTTTTCATCTACAAACCATTGTCGTTTCTTCTAGTTTTGTCTTCGTTTCGAGTCATTTTTGACGCTTTGTAGCTGAGACAAAGTCAATGTCAGGCTCAACCCCAACGGTGACACAGAAGGTACAGCCGCAAAGACATTGCAAATTGAGAACCGGGAGAAGTCAATGCATTGAGTGCCTAGTAGCTTCTTGTTACTAGTAAGGCCAGGAGCCCCTAGTAGCTTCTTGTTACTACTAGTAAGGCACTTGTTACTAGAAGCGATGCACTTGTTCCTAGTAGCTTCTTCTTACTAGTAAGGCCAGGAGCGCCCCTAGTAGCTTCTTGCTCGTAGTAGCGATGCCCTTTGCTCCTAGTAGAAGTTAGTTCACTTTGTTGTTTTGCGTGTTCTGGCTGGGGCCCGGGTGTGAGACTTTATGGTGTAGCTTGTTGCGTCGCAGCGTTTGCAGTTGGCAGACATGGGTTGGGTCTAGGTTGACCGGCTGTCGTTGCTTCTCGCTGTTTCTTGTTTTCCAGTCGGGCGCTCCCAGGTGGAATTGAAGTGGCCCTGGCCTGAGCGTATCCTAGAGTCTCTTTGAACAAAGCAAGTGGCAAACCTTCATGGCAAACACCGAAAATGTACCCACTTCAGTTGAAGTCCAATCGGAGCCAGGAAGGAGACGACAAAGTATCCCCGATGAGAACCTCTAGTATTCGAAGTGCGGAAAAGGAACCGACAAAGGCCAAGCCGACAAAGAATTGGTTTTATCATTCTTGTGGTTGTTTATCGAACCAAAATATGTCCGTGAACAGCATGAACGTGAGCAGGCCTTTCGGAGGCTTAGCGCTCCCTTAATTGTCCAGTGCTCAGACAACCAATTCTCCGCCTTTAGCGCCTAAAGAAGAAGTGGCGCCCTTGCTCCTAGTAGTAAGGCCAGGAGCCCCTAGTAGCTTCTTGCTCCTAGTGGCGATGCCAGTAGCCCCTAGTAGCGTCCTTGCTAATGGGTCCTTGGCTGCGCCGTAGGTCGCCAGGATTAAACCGTTCCCTGTTGCACTATTTGGCAGGCTCGAGCAGCCACGATGCATCGTGTGGCCAATCGGCAGTGGGCTCAGTGAGCTCGATTGCAATGGCCTCCAACCTAATGGCCTCCAACCTACTAGCGATGGCCTCCAACCTAATAGCAATGGC